GCATTACCAAAAACCACTTTGGCTTCTAAAAGGGAATCTAGTGCCCCTGGACATAAGGTCAGTAAAGAACGTGTTACAGTGCTTAACTGTGCCAACTCCACTGGAAATCATAAACTACCACTTCTTTTGATAGGAAAATCAAAAAATCCAAGAGCATTTAAAAACGTAAAAAAACTTCCACTCTTCTACAAAAGTCAACCCAAGGCCTGGATGACTGCAGCTTTGTTTACCGAATGGTATGATGAAGTGTTTATTCCTGAAGTGAAAAAGCACCAAAAATCGGTGGGAAAAGAAGGCAGTAAGGTGCTTTTAATTGTTGATAACGCACCCACTCATCCTACAGCAGAACTGTTGGAAAGAGAGAATGGGCAGTTTAAAATGACGTTTTTGCCTCCCAATGTTACAAGTTTGCTGCAACCCATGGACCAGTCTGTTATTGAAACAATGAAGCGCCATTACAGAAGGCAACTGCTGAGAAAACTGCTGATCGAAGGTGCTGAAGATGAAGAATTGGTTTTGGCAAATCATAGCAAAATAAATTTAAAGGACTGCTGTTACATGGTAGCGGAAGCTTGGAGTTTGGTTACGGCAGTGACGCTAAGACGTGCGTGGAATAAACTGAAAGGCCTACCGTCTGAGAAGAACAAAAAAAAAAGAAAATGAGAAACAAGAAAATGGAGAGAATGAAGATGATGAAGATGCGTTGCCACTAGAGGAAATGAGAAAAATGATTGTAAAAATTCCTGGTTGTACAGAAGTAAGTGCTGAAGATGTAGGAGAGTGGATGGCTTGTGACACGTCTGACCCTGGTTTTCAAATTCTCAATGACGATGAAATTGTTGAAAGTGTGAGAGAAGATGTTGAAGTGGAAGTGGAAGAAGAACTTTCTGCTGATGTTGAAGTAGACGCTGGACCATCAGCTAGTGAAGCATTTGCCGGCCTCGAGACTGCTTTGAATTGGATGGAGCGTCAACCCGAGTGTGACCACTTGCAACTGCTCACCGTCAAGCGAATGCGTGACCTGGCTGCCCGAAAACGGATGAAGAACGCAAAACAGCTTACATTGACGGAGATGTTTAAAAGACAATGATTTTTATTTCTAAACTTGTACGTATGTATGTATGTATGTACATATGTACATTTTATTTACATTTAAAACATGTGAAAATATCATGTTTCTTTCATTTTATTCAATTAAAAAATAGTGCAATATCAAAACGTAGCTTTTTTTCTCTCCAATGGCAATTTTTATTAAAAAACTCCGATTATCCGAATGGGTCCCGGTCCCCATTAATTCGGATAATTGGAGTTCTACTGTATGAGTTATTTTTACTTATTTTTACGTATATTATACAGTCTTAAAGTTTGGTGCGTTCCTCCCCACTCACCCTGTGTATGCTAGCTTGTTTTTTGCTATAAACTATTTAAACTAACTTAATCTAATCAAGCTATGCTAGCTTGATTAGACTGGGTTAGTTTAAGCGTTATCAAAGAATATAGAGGCATATTGGTGTTATTTTCTTTTTGCTATTCATTAACGAGAATAAAGTGTGTCGAACTTTGGCAACAGTGTGACAACTGCAATAACAGCTTTTTGGGTGTTGTTGCCAAACCAATTTTAAATATAAAATAAATATATTAAAATAGTATTAAGATTTTATTTCTACGTGTTTCTTGAATACCACGTAATAAATAATATTTATAAAAATATTTAAACTTGACAACATTCTAATCAACCCTCTGGGCTATTCCAAAAATTTTAGGTGGGTCTTTATACATAATTTGTTCTTAGTAAAGTTCAGTTGTGTTTTTTTATAACAAAGAAAATGGCTAGTTGCACCTCGTGTGAAATTTCATACAATAATAGTATTCGCATGGATTGTAGAAATGAAGTAATGAACTTTTTTATACACATGGGGTATTAAAAGTCACTAGAACATGTCCAGTTTGCGGCAGTGTTTTGAACGTGCATGGTGAAGGAAGATTTAGGTGTTACAAGCGTATCAGCAAACATAAAAAACGCTGAAACGCTGTGGTTTCTCTGCATCGGCAAGGAAGGGTACTTTTTTTGAGTATGTTAAATTGCCGATAGAAACAATATTTTTGCTGGTAAGTATTTTGTTACATCTACGTCCTCCTAGATATAACTTTATTCGGAACGAGTCGAAAATTGGTGCTCAAACAATTGTAGACTGGTATTCCTTCTCTCGCGAGGTCTTTGTAAGTTTCGCACTGAATACTTCAGAGAAATTGGGAAGGAAGGACATAGTGGTTGAAATTGATGAGTGCAAATTTGGCCGGGGAAAATACAATAGAGGTCGGTTGTACACCGGTCAATGGATTTTTGGTGGTGTAGAACGGAACTCCAAGAAATTCTTTTTAATACCGGTTGAAAAAAGGGATAAAGACACTTTGCTTGGACTGATTAACGAATGGATTCTTCCTGGGACAACAATTTATAGCGATTGTTGGAAAGCTTATGATTGCTTGGCCCATGAAGGATTTATTCATCAAACAGTAAATCATTCGAAGCATTTTGTGGACCCTGAAATTGGTACCCACACCAACAATGTGGAACGGCTTTGGAGGGAAGTTCGGTCTAACATTCCCAAGTACGGTGTACGAAGCGAGCACTTTGTGGGTTACCTGGCTGAATTTTTCTTTAAGAGAACTTTTTCTTCTCGAAACGAAAGGTTACACCATTTTTTCCTCGCTGTCGCAAATTTGTATCCACCGGCAGATTAAAGGTAAGTAGTAACATAAACAGTATTATCTACTATTATTTTGAATTTTTATATATTCTTATTTCAAATTCTTATATATTCTCATTTCAAATTCTTATATATTCTCATTTCAAATTCTTATATATTCTCATTTCAAATTCTTAAATATTCTCATTTCAAATTATTATATATTTTTATTTCAAATTCTTACATATTCTTATTTCAAATTCTTATATATTCTTATTTCAAATTCAGATATATTGTTAAGTATGTAGAGGTCCACTTCAAGCTGCATTTGAAAAAATTCATTTATACGGCGGTAAGTAAAAAAAATACTAAACATTGAAAGATTATTTATGAACATATTAATTATTGTTTTAGACGGTGGAGCTCGGTCTTCGAAAATATCAAGTGCCTTGTTGTTTTTTAGTTGCCGTGATAATAGGCCAATAAATATATTAGAAGGTGTTGGTTTTAAGAGACTAATAAAAGAACTTGCTCCCTTATACAGTGCATTAAGTTTTGGATTAGGTATACACTCTATAAATGGCTACATTGCGCGTCGTCGACTTGCCACTACATATCTGCTTCGTTGCTCGTCGCCCGTCGGCAAATTTGTCATATTGTCATTATACCGTGGTTGTTTAAAGGTATAACAACGTAGAGTTTTAATTTATTTTTGTAAACATATCTGTTTATATGACCGCGGAAAAAGCTCAAATAATAAAATGGTTTTATAGTGGCAATTCTGCGCAACAGTGTGCAGATTTATTTTCTGTGTTTTTTGAGGAAAGACCAATTCCATGTGTACAGTCAATTTATAATATTCTTAAAAATTTTGAGAGTTGTTATTGCCTCAAAAATTGCAGAAAATGTCACGCTCGAGAAGTGTTACCAGAAAAAGTTGAGGAAAGAGAATACCGGGATACACAAATTTGTGGAACAATCGAGGTAGATTCAACACGTTCAAGTAGAAGCGTTGCTAGAGAGTTAGATGTTAGCAATGTTACTGTAACGAAAGTATGGAAAAAGCACGGTTACAAGAATTTTAAATATTCGAAAACGCAGTAGCTTTATCCAGACGATTACTTTCGAAGAATGGAGTTTTGTGAAACTCTAATAACGAAGGCTAATAGTGAATCAAATTTTATTAAAAACATTTTATTTACTGACTAATTTTCTGTTTCGTTAGTAGGGAGACACAATCCTTCCATTACGAGGTATTGGGCGCGGGAAAACCAGCACAGAAGTGTTATTTACCGAACTCAACGTCCTCAAAAAGTTAACGTCTGGACTGGCATTTTAGGAGACCACATAATAGGTCCATTTTTTATTGAGGGCAACTTGAATAGTAGAGTATACCTCGATTTGTTACAGAATCATGTCTCAATCTTCCTGATGTAAATCTGGAGAATGTTTGGTTTCATCAAGACGGCTGTTCAGTTCACAACGCTCGAATTATTAGGGAGTATTTAAACAATACTTTCCCGAATCGAGTTATCAGTGGAACAGGCGATATTAAGTGGCCTGCGCGATCTCCAGATCTTACACCCATGGACTTCTTTTTTTGGGGACATTTAAAAAGCATTATCTACGATCATCCTGAGGCTAGAGCCCAATATTTGGATGAATTAAAAAATCGAATAAGAGAAGTCTCCAATTCTGTTACAGCAGAAACTCTTTCATCTGTTCGCAGAAGTTTTTATGACAGATTGGGGTACTGTTCAGCCGTAGAAGGTCAACTATTTGAACCATTTCTGTAGGTCATAAAGAATTATTTTTTATTTTATTAGGAATAATATTTTAATTGTCAATAAGAGTATATTTTTTATTTTATCTTTTTAAAGAAATACGCTTTTATTTTTAATTCAACCACAAAAAAAATTTCACATTAATAAAAATCGATAACAATGCACCGATTAGGCCAGTGCATTTTTATCGAATTTCCTACTATTAAAATCGGCTATACGTAATGAAACATGAGATCGGACGACAGAGAAGTATATCCCAAACGTTATTGTGAGTTACTAAACTAAAATGATTTTCTATCGGTGCAGATAGTCTCGGGTCGGAGAACCGATTGCACCGTTGCCGTATTTTAGCGCTCCGTATAGTGTGCAATACCTAATCAAAAACTTAACGCACTGTATAAAGTACCTAGCAGGGAAACACTTAAAAAACTCATGGATAATAAGTATGAGGTTATTGCAAATCTTAATAAAAAAAAATTCAGAAATAAGTAATTTTTCTGTAACGTGCGACGTCTGGAGTGAAATGATGTCTTATCGCAGTTTTTTAGGTGTGACTGTGCACTTTATAGAAGACAGAAAAATAACTTCGGTTGCTATTGATGTACAAGAACTATCAGAACGTCACACCTCTGATTATATATCTACCCAGCTTCCAGAAATTTTAAATAGGTGGAAAATTGATTTTGAAAAAGTGGAAGCTGTGGTTACAGATGGTGGTACCAATATGTTGAAGGCAATTAGTGATAGCTTTGGAAAGATCAAACATGTTCCCTGCTTTGCTCATCTAGTAATTTTAGTTGTCGAGCATTCTTTAGATAATGAGGAGACTAAGCCCTTATTAAATAAAGTACAATCAATTGTTAAATGGGCAAAAAACAGTGTAATTGTTAGTGATGAACTGAGGAAACGCCAACTAAATAAGGGAATTGCTAGTGGCAACTTAAAAAAATTAACTTTAGACATTAGCACTAGGTGGAATTCTGTGTTTTATATGCTCGAGAGGTTTGTGGAACTTCTTTAGTTAGTGAAATATTAAGTAAACCCCATGCACCAGCCATGTTAACAGCTGTAGAAATATTACAAGTTAAAGAAGTTATTTGTCTTCTCAGACCTTTGGAGTATATTACGAGAGAAGCCTCTGAAGAAGAGTATATTACAATATCGAAGGTCATTCCAATGTTGGCATGTCCTTCAAATCAGCTTGATATGATTAATTTAGATTTGCCACTAGCAAATAACAAAGTCAAAATTTAAAACTGAACTCCAAAAGAGGTTTAGCAAAATAGAATATAATCATGCAATTGCTGTAACAACATTACTAGATCCAAGATTTAAAAATTTACATTTTCAAGAGCCACTGGCAGCAAGCAAAGCAGTTTCATATTTAACCTTTAACCCTTTCGCTACGGGCCAAGTACCGGTTGCGAGCTGCTCATATACGGTGCCGGGAAAATTTTGCACTTCGCGATCGAGACGGTCTGACGGTCACTCAGTAGTTTACATTCTTTGTATTGAAGTGGTTGAATTGTTTTTCGGTGGTCGGCAGTTTGTTTATATCATGAATAAAAGCTATTATATATATATATATATATATATATATATATATATATATATATATATATATATATATATATATATATATATATATTATATATATATATATATATATATATATATATATATATATATATATATATATATATATATATATATATATATATATATATATATATATATATTATATATTATATATATATATTATATATTGCCTTTTGACGGAGGATGAACTAAGAAAATTCCTTGAAGATAGTGAAAGTGAATATGATTCGTCGGATAATGAAAACCATTTCTCAAGCGAAGATGAATCTGAATATATAGTAAATTATTCAAGTGAAAAGGAAGATGATATAGACTTTACATCAGTTGTTGATGAGTTTGCAGCACCCAGTAAAAATCCAAACCCATCTTCAAGAGGAAAACATTCCCAAAAAAGTGATTCAACAGACTCATGGGTTTTTGATAATTTTGTGTCAAATGTAATGGATTTTGACCGCAACAACTCAGGTATAAATCCTAATTTATCTTTGCATCATACAAGCGCTGACGTAGATTTTTTCACTATATTTTTTGATGAAAATATTATAACTCTGATCACCGAACAGACAAATGCATATGCACATGTTTTGCAAACCAAAAGGGCAAGTTATTCTAAATGGCGCCATCTCAGTCCACAGGAAATGTATTATTTTCTGGCACTGTGTATTTTGGTGGGTATTGTTGAGAAACCACGTCTGTCAGATTACTGGTCAACAAATCCAATAATTTCTACCCCATTTTTTAATCAAGTTTATTCTCGGGATAAATTTTTGCTGACACTAGGTGCCCTTCATTTTGTAGATAACACCAATTTGGATAAAGATGATTACCTCCGTAAAATCCGTCCTGTGCTAGATAGTGTTAAAAAAATATTTGAAGAAACCTCTCCAAGGCCACACCTCTGAGGCCGTAAATTTTTACTTTATGTAACAGGATTTTGTGGTTTACAGTATCAAATGCTTTAAAGACATCTACAAATATACGTAAAGAAGCTTTATTATCTAAAGAATTGTAAATATTTTTTACCAATTGCTTCTTCTGTAGACCTTCCCTCTTTAAAGCCATATTCACTTTCAGATAATATATTATGTTTATTTAAAAATTTATTTAGACGAGATTTTATCATTTTTTCGATTGCTTTACTGAGATTCGAAGTCAAGCTTATTGGTCTATAGTTTCCAAGTTCACTACGATCTTCACCTTTAAAAAGCGGTTTAATGATACCTGTTTTTAATAAATTGGGAAATATACCTAATCTGAAACAGTTATTGATTATATATGTCAATGGTTTAGCAATTTGTTCTGCAACTTCTTTTAACATTTCTGATCTGAAGGTATCTATACCTGGCGATTTTTTTATTTTTTAGTGTATGTATAGTTTTTTTGATTCGTTGGAAATATATGCTATTTTTACATACTCAATCTCTTCAACATAATTGAGAGGTGTATCAGTTTTCTCAGCATATTTTTTGGCAAGTCGCTGAAATAATTATTAAATAGATCTGCAATTTTTCCATGATCTGTTCTGAGAAAATTTATATTCATTACTGATATTCATGTCATTGGGGTGTTTCTTAGATTATTATTATTTTATATATATTATTATTTCTTAGATTATTATTATACTATTTTTTTCCTTAATAGCTTTTAATAATTCTAAATTGATCCAAGGCTGTTTATTTTTTGATTTTTTTTTTTTTTCGAATTTGTACTTCCTTAGTGGTTATATCAATATTTCGTTGTAGCATATTGATAAACCCCTCAGTTGTATAATGTATATTTGTGGAATTATAAAGAGAAATCCAATTTTCGCCTTTTCAATTTAGTTTAACTGTATGTAATCAGTATATTTTTTGAACATTGTGTTCTTTTGTTTATTTGTGGTACTAACTGAAGAGTTGAAATTTTCTAATATTAATGCAATGAGACTATGATCAGTTATTTCGTAGTTAAAAATGTTAGAACTAAGTTTATGTTTACTGTCTTGTGAATTTTGAATAAATAAATGATCAAGGCACGTTTTACTGTGACGTCTTGGGATTTGATTTATATATGATACATATCCATATGTAGTCATCATCAACTAAAGTCGATATATCTCCTTCTAAAATATTAATGTCCAACATCTTTGTATGGCGTAAATAATTGTAAGGCATGAATTAAATACCTTTGGGCTTTGGGCATTAAATGTTGTATTTATAGTTTAATATATATATATATATATATATATATATATATATATATATATATATATATATCGGAAAAACGAGTACGACCGTCAAATTCCAATATATAAAAGGATCACTCAACAGAGTGGTGGGCTCTTATATCGGTCAATTTGTAGGTGGAGAAATGAAAGACAAAGTTGATGTGCCACTCTATCTATTTTGAAGACGTTTCGCTTTCGTATTCTGAAAGCATCATCAGTTCATTCTAAAAAGTACAATATAAGAACCACACAATCATGGAAAAGATGTTACAGGTATTACCTTAAAAAGACATGTAGCAGTCAAAGATGTTAACAAGCTTATGAATTAAACTTGAATAAATGGACATTATAAAGTAGAAATGTATAAACATTTAATTTACTAACAACATTTAGTGACTTATTAAAAAATTAGCACAGTAAGTGACCATGTGGTCCGAAGTATAAAAAATATATTAAATTATAACTTAAATGATGCAAAGAACTAAGAAAATCAACGATTAACTTCCAACTATTGATAATTATTAAGCTTTAATTTTAACTTTTGTTAGCATTATTAAAAGATGTTAATATAATTTAAAAAAAAATTAGTGTAAATGAATGAAGTTACCGGTCTAAGCCTTGCACCTGCTACCAGGAAAATGACATTAGATTGAACAGACTGACACAGAACCACGAAAAGACAGCCAACCTTGAGGTTGAAATTATTTCAACAGAACAGCAAGGTCAGAGGTACCACCTCAAATAATTGAGCGGTTTATTTAAATGTTAATGAGTTTTGGATGACAGCCCGCTTGTAAGAGACAATCCAATGAAAGAAACTGATATAGCTGAGTGTATGAGTGTAACTGAGTGATCCTTTTATATATTGGAATTTGACGGTCGTACTCCTTTTTCCGATGCTTTCTGTTGCAGAGGGGTTCTATGCTTCCACCAGACGCATTCATGGAGACCTAGCAGTGAAGAAGCTGAAGAGATGGACAAACCTAACGGAGAAATTAGCAACAGCTGAGGCCAGAAGAACCTTCCTCCTTGAGTGTAGGAGAACTAAGAAAATCCCACGATTCATCGTTGACACCACTTCCAACATATTTGCATCCACATCTAGCTCCACAGACAACAGACTATATCACAGAAGCCAAGTTTTAAATAGACAGGTGAGGGTACGATTACTTAATTTCCATATTTCTAAGGTTCACACAGATATTAAATCTTTAACTTTTCAAATAAATAATGTTACTTCCTTTCTGGACAATCACTTACCTGACAATTTGTTGGACACTTTTGAGGTTTCTTTACATAAAAAAAAATTTAATTACATTTATAATAAATCCATGGCACATCTTAAAAATAAACTTAATAACTTAGACACTCCCGATTTTAAAAAAATTCCATTTAATCCTAAATGGATTAAAAATTTATCTAATACTGAGGTTCCTCCAGACATACTGAAGTTGTTATCTTTGGGTCCTAAATTTGGCCTTCAACCAACTTTCAAGGACTACTCAATTAGTAGAATCCTAGCTGATGTTGAAAATATTTTGTCTCATGCGGACAATTCTGACCTTTTATCCCTTAGGTCTTCTTCTAACAACATCTTGTTAAATTTCACTAAACGCCCTAGGCAACCCCTATCGGAGTTAGATAAGGTTTACAGGGAGACGGTATCGTTTTTAAAAACCCACCCTAATCTTCTCGTTCTCACGAGTGACAAAGGTAATGCTACTGTCCTTATGAATAGAGATCAATATTTCAGTTTGAGTAAATCACTGTTAGATGATGATAGATACTACCAACCACTTTCCACTAACCCTTGCTCTAAATTCACAAATAAAATAAATAAATTTATAACACATTTGAAAAATATTAAGATCATAGATCAACCTTTAGCTAAAACTTTACATAATTATGATGGATATTCTCCTAGATTTTATTGTCTGCCAAAGATACATAAACCTACACTGAGCATGAGACCTATTGTGTCCTCTATTAATTCACCTAATATCAATATTGCTAAATTTCTAACTGACATCCTATCAAAGTCATATAATTACAACAATGACTTTAATATTGTTGATTCGTTTAACTTTAGTGAATTTATTAACAATTTCAAATTACCACCAGGTTACATTTTAGTAAGTTTTGATGTGGTTTCTCTCTTCACCAATTTACCTTTGTCCAGTGTTATCACTTCCTTAAAAAATCACTGGAATTCGATTAAACCTAACTGTCCTGTTTCCTGGGATGTATTTGCAGAACTCTTGCAACTAGTTTTCGATACTAATTTCTTGGTCTTTGACGACAAATATTACCTTCAAATTTTTGGCACACCTATGGGTTCCTCAATCTCTCCTATCCTAGTCAACTATGTATTGGATGATTTAGTTTCTGACCGTAGGTCGTTTGGATGTTCAAATCCCTTTTATTAAGAGGTATGTGGATGATTTATTAT